ATATATTATATATCTATACTCCTTTATGAATTATAAAATGTATAAAATAGAATATAATACCATTAATAAATCTATAAGATTTTATGTTTAAATCATAGTTTCATTTGTTATAAATATAAATAAAAACATAAATATTTATATGAACATTTATATAAAACACTTTTTTCAATAGCTTTCCCATCAGATTTTTCTCAAAGTGTATTTGATATACACATGCATAAAGTACCGTGTGGGGATTTTGTAAGAAATCCAGACATTGAATCATTAAGGCGGAAAACCTTTACGCCGCCTTCTCATTCTCTTCGCGAGAATTCCCAGACGTTGGAGCACATCAAGCGCAAGTTGGAAGAGCAGCAGCTCTAGAGGGCAAACCTATAGAGTCGAAGAGAGTGTGCTCTGTGTGGCTCTTACCCTCTCTCTTTGTGTCCGTTCAATGTTCATTTTTTTGGCCATTTGGATTTTGCATTATAAATTAATTTGTTATCAATAAAGAAATATTTACCCACGCACACTAACTACAGGCGGCCAAACGTAAACTCAAACGCGCTCTCTTTCTCTTTCTCTCTCTCTATCACTCTCACACTGCCTCGCTGTCTCTTTTAGGCTAGCTAGCTATCTCTGTCTTACGCCGCTGCGCAACTGGCTTATAAAACTCTATAAAAAGTCTCAAACAAATCACAAGATTTTCAGTTAAAATTCAGAATTCATAAACTGCGGTCGCGTAAGCTGAAGTCGCGTTTGCATCGATCTATATATATGTATATATAATTAAATATAAATGCATATATTTTAAATATTGTGCAGCTCTCGATATATACGATAAACAGTGTATCAAAAGTTTTTATCAACTAAAACTAAAATAAATACCTATATATATAGAAAATACAGTATATCATAATGAATCGCAGTTTTCCTTCAACTTTGTACGGCGCCTTTTTTCTGCTGCTCGTCGCGCCAGGTAAGAAAACCCCCCCCCCAAAAAAAAAAAAAAAATAAAAATAAAAAAAAATCACAAAATCCAAAATGTGTGTTGAGTGTCAAAGTGTCTGGGTCGATATCCTATTTGATACAGTCCAAAAGACTGATATTAACAAAAAGTGATAAAAAATATTGATTCGGCCGCATTAGTTTGGACCGTGAATAAACGACGGACTTTTCTCTATGCTAAGCACTATAAATAATATTGATAAAATGCAAAAAATGAAGAATAAGAAATAAAATAAATTACGATACAAAAAATTTGTAATTATTTTTGTTGTTGCTGTGAAATGCAAAAGTACAAAGATTCATAAATAACAAACCAACAATTAAATTAAAATGCAAATTCATTCATTTGCATTCATTGCAATCGCAATGTTTTTTGTGCATAAAAAAAACCATAATTATAAGGGAAAATATCGAAGTAAAACAAAAATGATCATAAATAATGCGAAAATTGCTGACAATTTTGAACGTTCACATTCCCGATTTTTATGATGCGGAAATGTTGACACCTCACAGACATATATATTACAGATATATAACAATGCAGACAGCTTTTGATTTAAGTTTTGCTTTGTCATATTTTATCTACATATGTAAACATTTATAGTTTGACTTGAATTTACACTTTAAGCTTGGAAATAACTGAATATATATATTATAGTTGAATGTCCTTCGATTCTATGGGTTATTGAGGCAAAAAGTTCCTGATTGAATTTTTATAACTTAGAAATTCGAATACTATTTATATACATATATGCGTGTATACATTTTGAAGAATCTTTCAATCGATAAACTAGCAAATTCTACAAAAATAAATTAGCTATAATAAAAAGAAATAGAGAGAGACAAATAGAGTTAGTGACAGAGATCGACACAGCTCATTAGCTCATTTATGGCATACATAAAAACGCAATTTTTTGTTATACATTAAATAATATAAAACATTTAAAATAAATACCAAATTGTTGTTCAAAATAAAAATAATAAAATGATATAAAATGCAGAAACTTTGAAGTTAACAAAATATATATTTTTAAATTATTTTTAACAAGAGATTAAAATAATAAGACAAAAGCACATAAAAAAGAAAAACTAAACTTGTTAGCTAAAAATTTTGATACAAAAAGAAAACTTAAGAAAATTGATAAAAATAATGATACAAAACGAAAACTTAAAAAAAATTTTAATCATTAAATGATTTAAATGATATATTTTTGACATATTTATGCAAGTTTTTTGGGCCATACAGAATAAAAATAGTAGCATATATAAGATTATTTAGTATATATATATAGCTCGACACGCTCCCACTTCTAAAGTGGAAATTGAACTGGTTTTGAGAGGCAGCTGTAAATTTGGGTTGCACTTTAAGTGGATAATTTCAGTTCAAGTTTTCTGTGTAATATTTAGTTTTTTTTACTATGGGTAATCTCGATTTTGACATTGAAACAGCGCTTCGACTGCTAATTGAAAAGCTGCGACTGTGCTGTGAGTTTTCAGTTAGTTGACTTTGCAGTGCACTTGGTACAGACATGTTTGGGACACATGACAGCTGTCGTTTAGCACTTATGCACAGCAACAACAACAGCAACAACAACAACAACCTGCTTGAGCATTTAGCACCAAATCCAATAACCTGAAATTCCCGCCCGATTCGACAACAAATGTAAAGCATTTACGTAAGCTCCCATCTTATGCAGATGTATCTAACTATCTATAATACTGCAACTAACTAACTATAATAGTGCAACTACTAAGTTCACTATTTATAAGTAGTTCGTCTGATTGTCAGTTTATGAATTACAATTATAATAGTGCCGGTTTGAGCTAAGACCTGAAGCGCGTGAGCAGTAATTGCATCTATAATAAAATTTTCTTTTATTGGAAAACCAATTTATAGCAGTGTTGAACAATACACTGTAAACATTTAATCTATTTTTGTTGAATTTCAAATTATCTGATTTTGAATAAAGTTAGAAGTTTCACAGTCTGAAGAAATTTTATATTTGTCAAAATTTTCAATATTTTCTATAAATTTAATCAATATCTTTTTCGAAATCAAAATAATTAAATACAAAAATGAATTATGTAATTAATAAATTTCCTAGCTGAGAATTAGTTTTCATTTAAGCGGAAACCTACTGAATAAAAAAACTAATTGGGAATATGTTAAAAAAAAAAAAAAAAAAAAAAAAAAAAAAAAAAATTGTTTATCCATTCCAAAGCTTAAATTATATTTTTAGAAATAAATCAAGCTAGATTTTTCACTTTCTATCTAAAACAATTTCATATTTTTAAACCATATTTCATAAATTCGGAATTTAAAATGCCTTAAATAGATTCTCGTTGTGAATACAGTTCCAATTCTAATTTTATGAAATATTTTCGCTCAGTGCATGCATTTCGACTGAACTTAAATACGTTGCCGTAAGAACGCAACAATCTTAACTCTGTTTCGCAACGAAACTGGTTTGGATGCGTCGTGGCTGCCTAATGCTAATGATATTATACAACTCTTATTTATTGCAAATGAGAAAGTAAAATAAAATCAACGTAAATAAATGAACCCCAAGCTCATGAGCAAATCAAGTATAAATTCGCTTATCACGTGCCATTAAAGCCACATTCCAGCTATAGTCTTGGTGTCTCTCTCCGACTTCTATAGCCGATACTTGCCCATCAATCAATGTGATTTATTAATAATTTTTAAGTCAACAGTCGGGCAACTCAACCATATCATATATATATCATAGCCGTACGTAGTACTCAACAAAATGTTGTGGACAAATTGAATGGGCAGACGCAGCGTATGAGCAATATTGGCATACACTGTACGCGTAGTTTATGAGGGGTATACAGATTTTTTAGAGCAAACTCTACTGAACAATAAAAAGGGATAGAAACTGCTTTCAGTTTTAGTTTTAGCAGAGTTTTTAGATAATATATATGTAGAATCATCGCATATCTTTCGCACGCCTTAGAAAGTTTAAAGTTATACTAGATTACAGTTTGACGGACACTTTCAAAGTTTTAAAGCAATAGAAATAATAGAATACTTCAGTATATAGCAGATACTAACATCATTTTTAGAAGCATCTTTACAGTTTAAATAGTTAATATCCTATATAATAGACAGAGAACAAAGTATTTGCGTAACATGGATATATTCCATTTTCTAATATAGACTAACAAGCAATGCATTTTAATTAGAGCTCTAGGACAGAGTCTACAATCAGTATCGAGTTTTAACTCGAAGAACAGAGTATCGCCTAGTCATTAATACCCAAATTATTTGTGTATATCAGCGGCCAGTGGATAGTTTGACTGGCATTTGACTAGACAGGAACTAAGCCCCGGCTACATTGCTATTGGCTCGAATCCCGTTGGCGATGTGTCATACCTGTAGAGAGTGTCAATTGGCACCTGGTGAACAGCAGCTATATTAACATTGACTGCTTTGATAAGGCAATTGACGTAATTATGACAGTGTATCACAGGAAGCCAACTATTTGCTGATTGTTGTTTTTAGTAATTGGAAATTTGCATGGCCGAAGATCGCCTCACACACCGTGGACCTCGATCGATAAATGGTCTGATAATAGATGAATAATGCAAACATTGCTCGCACATTAAAAGCTATTAATAAGAAATGAGCAAACATTGCGACAAATATTTTCTATGAGTCTATGAGCCCATTGCTGTGATTTATGGCCCACACATGGTCGAGTTTCGATCGCTTTGTCATCGTTAATCGTTTATCGTTTGCTCGTTTCTGTGTTTACCAAAGCTATAAATTGTTTTAGGAGATACAGATAAGGCCAGATATACATACAAATACATATGTATCACCATAATCAAAATCTAAAAATTTCAAATGCGATCTTGTTTAAGAATTTATGGAGCATTTAATTTATGGACACATAAAGTTGAATCTTAAACCCCCCAAAGTTGTCTGAATAGACATATTTATGTATGTATATATTTTGAAGCTACAATGATTTATATGATTTTATGATATATGATATATCGATCTTATCTATTGGGCTAAAGAATACGATCGGCTTATATTGGGAATCGCCCGGAAATTTTCTGACTAATATTACTACTAAGAATCATAATAATATACATAGCTAAAAAGATAAATTGTGCTCCACCTCTAACCATTATCTGCTTTTATTTGCAGCGTGTCTTGGAGATCTGATGTGCTATGTTTGCGATAATTGTGAGAATGTGGACAAGAATACGCCTCTATTGGCCTGCAATGAGGAATTCTTCAATCATCAAGGCAGCACCGAAGCCTCCACCGTAACGACAACCGAAATGGAGACGTCTAAAGATACGCAAAGTACCGCAACAGAATCTGAATCGACACCGGCCTCCACCAGCGATCTGGAGACCAGCACCACTGCTGTAGAAACCACTACCGAACCAGGCACTACCGAGACGACCGCTAGCACAGATATGCCCATCCCGACGCCTGCTACAGTGGGCCCGCCAGAGACTACCACCGGTGTGCCTACACCCCCAGAAGAGACTGGAATGCATAGGCTAGAGATATCGACTCAATTTTCGGACGCTACTGACTTGGAAAACTCCACAGATCTGTACATCCGCCAGCGTAGAGCTCTGATTGATACAGACATTAGCTATCACTGCTACAAGGTGGAGAAGACAGGTGAGCATATACACATACATATATAGATATCATATATAGATCCTGATCTGACGATATCTCTATCCTTAGTCAACAATGTGAAGCAAGTGGATCGCGGTTGCTCACGTGTCAAGCCAGAGCAATCGGTTTGCCAGGAGCTTCAGCTGCAAAACGTCGGCGTTCAGTTGTCGCATTGTGATCCGTGCACCATGAATGCCTGCAATGCTGCAACATCCACGGTGCATGCCTCCATCCTGGCGACAGTGGCTGTGGCACTAACTGCAGTTGTGCTACAGCTTAAATAAAAATTGAATACTGTGACAAATGTTCTTCGCCGCCATCAAATCTTACACGCCCCCAGCCGCCCTTCCATTGTTGTCCAACTCTCACTCCAACCCGGTGTTATTTAGTACATATTGTTACTCTCTTTAAGGTACACACAAATACACACACGAACCCACATACACACACAAACACTCTCATTGTTAAGTCATGCGAAAACTTTATGTAATTTGTAAGCGATACAAAAACAAAACAAACACACACGAATATCGAAATATACATATATTATACATACGCCTCTATATATATAATTCTAAATGAACTAAAGCTAACCAAATGTGAAGCATAAGACAATTTTAATTGATATGTAATAAACTATTTATGTATTAAAGATTTTTCAAATTTTCTCTTCAAAATTGATTGAGAAATCTCAATTTTTGCCATTTTTATTTTGATCGGGGTATACATACGTACATACAGTTTGACACGAAAGTGTTTTCACATGGGGAAAAAAAAGCATTTTTGTTCTTTGGCATTAAAAAAAAACTGCTAAATGTGATATTTCTATTTTTTTTTTAAATTACATTATGTTTTTCAATTTGTTGTCTTACAAAAATAACTTTAAAAAAATTAAAAAACTTTAAACATAGGCTTAAATAACAATAACAACATAAAAGATATTCAAATTCAACTGACACGAAAGTGTTATTCTTTATTTCTTCTTACTGCTAAATTCGTATTTACCGTTGTTTTCGGCGATTTCAATGTGCACAGCTGTGGCTAATGCTATGTTCTGAACAATTTCGTCATATTTTGTAAGAATCGATTCAATCTTCAAAAAATTTAAACAAATTAAGAATGCCAGGGAAGCGATTGTCATTTGACATGATTCAATTNGTAAAAATGTAAAAAATATAAAAAATTACCAATTGAGCTTTTAAATTTCGTCTTCCCATTTTATTGTAAGACGGTTAATTTTTACAATGTTGAAGCTATATCAGCATATTTGACTTGACATACAAGTGTGACATCAACCACGCAGACTACTAGATTGTTTGATGCTGAGCAAGGCACGAACATATTTCAGAGCTGCGCAAGCGAACTTTCGTTATCGGATTTTAAAAGAACTAGTTCGATTTTTATACCCTGAACCCATTGAAAATGGGAAGTCAGGGTATAATGGTTTTGTGAAAAGTATGTAACAGGCAGAAGGAATCATCGCAGACCCCATATAGTATATATATTCTTGATCAGGACGACGAGCTGAGTCGATATAGCCCTGTCCGTCTGTCCGTCCGTCCGTTCGTCCGCCTGTATGAGCAAAAGGATCTCAGAAGATATAAGAGCTAGAGAGCTGAAATTTGGCATGCATACTCGTGTATACCATAGGCAGTACAAGTTTATCATATTTTTTCGATAACTCATCCAATAACTTTTATGATTACGTTTTGAAAGTTTCATTAAGAAACTTTCAACAAATAAATTCTCATAACACTGCAGCGCAGCCCAAGCGCAGTCGCTGCTTACTGCGCAGTTAGCAGAGCGCGTGCTTATAAGTGCATGTGTATATATGTGTGCATAATAGAAGTCCAGAATGATTTTAATATCAGCTTGGAGGGTTCAGGGTATCTCCTAGTCGAGCAGTCTCGACTGGAGCCTTCTGACTTGTTTTATTATTATTATTTTTTTTTTAGTAAAGAAATTTGTATTAGTTCCAAAAAAAAATTTCTTTTTGTTTTTTTGTTTAGGAGAATAAGACAAACCATACCTCTTACATAGCTCTTCATATCAATTTTCTAACCTGCAAAGCATGTTCACATTCATAAATCTGGTATAGCTTAAACTCTATCTCAAAAGATTTATGGATGCTATAAAAAATCGAAAGTTAATAAAGCTAAAAGATCTGTTATCTAACATTATATAAATAATGAACTTTGAAAACAAAGTTCTTTGAGCTATGCTAATTATATTAACCTCTGATCTGCTAAGAAGATTTCTATTTATACCTGAGCTACAAGTTAACACATTTTGTTATTTGATTAGGCATTCAGAGCTTTCGTCACGATTTAACGAAGTAAACATATTAAGAAGCCAGATAAACCTCCATATATCTAGTTATCAGAAGTTTCTGTGTCGCTTGAATCACTTGACTGGACTAATTTAGCTCTGGGTCAATGTTGCGTCCATTGCGCATACGCCGCATTGGGCCAACAAAAACATTTTTGATAAATAGGAAAGGGGCATACTTTTAGGCCCAACTATGCTAAGTAAATTTGCCCAGAGCAAACAGTACACAAAAGTAAACCACCAACAATAAGATAAGATAAGATTTCATTAATAACAAAAAATAATAATAATAATAATACAAATCGACAAAAATGTGCTCTGCTTTGTATTTATTATGCATAAACAGTGCGTACGAAAAAGTGTATGTGCGCATCCTACTCTCAAAATATTGTGCCATAAATTAAAAGCGCAATAGTCAAATAATATTTATATTTATAGATACGATGAGTCGAGAGATATGTCACTTTCCCAGGGAAAATTTACAGCTAAATAGCAAATGGAATCTGACTCATCGGGAAAGAGCTTAATAGTTGATATATGATATAAATAGATATGGAACCGACTGATTGATACTTGCTTTAAGCTCCCATGATTTTTCTTCTTATTAATTGATTTCGATCTTATAGCATTATTTTTATAAACCAATATACTTATTTTGACTGTCTGAGCGAGTGTAGCTTTCTCGAGAAGTTGACCTTCATAAATCATAAATATATATAATTATTTGCCTTATAAAGTGTTACGATTTGATAATGATTTCTATATAAAAAGAATATATATATATATATTCATATCTCTGACGATGATAAACAACTCAGGGTGAGTGAAAGTTTTTTTTTTATTAAATTTCGAGTTATCTTTTAACTGGCCGCGAGATAGCGTGCAATGAGTGAACTTTTGATTTTCTTATGACTTGTATAAAAAATCAATAATATATAAAATTATTATTTGATATAAGTTAACTTAATTTGCTTAGCAAAAATTGTAAGTTAAGTTTGCTTAACTAAAAACTAGCTGAAATACTCTATCTAAATGCAGTATCTTCTGGGCTGACCTCGTATATATGCAATAATCTATATATTCTTTTTTTTACAGTCATGATTTCTTAGACATAAAGATAGAGCCATAGACGGGTAATTAACCGTTATATTTCTAAATTTGTTGACAGTTAAGTACTTTGTTTTAAAATTTAAGCAATCAAGATAGGTATCCACTCCTTCAATGATTAATTCACTAAAAGTGCATTTCAATGGCATTGAAATAGGTTTTTTCCCCGAACTGTTTTAGGTTTATAGACCTTAGATGATAAGCTTAAATAAGTGCATAGTATGTGTTGTTTTCTTTTCTTTTTTGTTTGCAATTTACGGAAATGTATTGTTCCGTTAAAGGCAATATTTATCTTTATTAACCCACTTCTTATATTTGGTTTTCATTTCGTAGCTATTAAAATATTTTTGAGAATTTATTGTTTGGATTTTTTTTTCTATTCGTTTGATTACGTGTGCTTTGTGCAGACAAAGGCCATTTGTTAAACGGCTGACTAAATATGTGAATCATCGGCAAAAAAATTGTTGGCGAAAATATTCAACTTGCACCGTCGCACAGTGGGGCCTCTGCCGGCAGAGCGTGGCAAAAATCAAAAAAGGTACTTTAAGCGATTTTTAAAAAGTTGATGTCATATGAAAATAAATCGATCTACTGGTTTGTAGCCGAAAGATTTTTGAAAATCGGTCAATTTTAAGGGTAGTTATAGCCCTTCAAAATTTGGGAAAGTGGCAAAGTTGTGAAGAGCAGCGTATTTTTGTGAAAAATATGCCACTTGTCAATTGAATTGTAGGAAAAATCTTGCACCAATTTTTGCAGTGTTGGTTGCGATTTAAAGAATGGACTATTACTAATAGAATACAAAAAAAATTATGTTAATACGATTTTTCATTGCAGAGCTGGTTTAAATTTACTAAACCTCTAAATTTGACCATTTTTTTTACCTAAAGTAGTCTATATCTTTTGAGTTCCGCCGAGTTCCGAGCA